CAACACACTACAGTATAATTAATTTTGTCAAACTTGCCACCAAGACTGCCATTCAACATAAGCATTAACACTACTACATATGTTATTACAATTTGACAGCTGGATATTTAAAACCTTGTTGTCTCTCATCTTAGTAGATGACGTATTGGCCGTGTACACAATATATTGACCACAGCTGGTATTGTGGATCTGTTGTAGATTGTATCTTGAAAACAGGGATGACCATCATGAATGTCAGTTGTGTTTGATTCATAAACATAAAATCCTAGAAATCTAGTTGTGATTCCATTTTGAGCATCCAATACAGGTAAAAGGAACATATCAGAGAAAAATATAGATTTACATATTTTACGTAGAAATAAACATTTTGCTAATCTTTCTTATCCTCAATTTAAAATATTGCATATTTGGAAAGGTCTTGACACGGGGGTTCATACAATGTATACATGTTTACATGTGATTTATTGGTTTACTTCCCTCTTGGGAATTTTACACTTATACATGTGTGGAGACATCACCACTTGAAGATTTTATCGTATACTCGGCATTTAAGACCATTGAGCTCTGAGAGTTCTTTTCGTACCAGCAAATACAGCGACACGCGACCTCGGTTCAAACGGTCACATCCGAATGGCCTCTTTCTACGCCCAACAGTGTGATTCGAACCCACAAAGTAGGAACAACTCCCTACTTCGCGCCTCTAGAGCAGATATCTTAACCACGCCTGCTACCCATAAACATGTATAACACAAGTATACCTGTGTAAGTCCCATCTTTTCATCAAAATTTATGACCAAGATTGTATCTTTTTTTGTGTTTAACTTATAGACGGACAAACGAATTACTTGATGATTTCTGAAAGGTATGAGTAAGTTTACCCCATGGTTGATTTTCCGTCCGGTAAAATAGTAATATGTGGTTTAAACTGTAGTCAGATGTCAAATTAACACACCAGGTGGCGGTTGAGTGTCCATCAGCTGAACTGGCACATTGTCTTCCATAGGCTGTTAGATTGCTCTTTAGACCATCAACAGCATTACTGGAGTCAAACGGAGCTCTGTCCAATTTCGCACTCCGAAACGGATTTGATCGATATGTGGGTTTTAAGAGAGCTAGGTTTTCTAAAAATCAATAAATAATTCTTTTTTTGGAGGGACGGGGGGCCCTTTGGGAATCAAACTCTTCGAAAAAATTAAGTTAATTTAGACATTAAACAAAATCATAAAAAAACCTAAATAAAGAATTTTTGAATGCAAACATAGACTATGTAAGAATATTGAATGTCTTACCGTATCCTTGGGTGAAACAAATTGAATGTATGACAAACCATATTGCTGTGCCTGTGAGAATCTTTTTCCAAAACTCCAACACAAAAAACGACTCCTTTTCCTTTCTTTAAATCTATCAGCATCTGTTTTGTATAACCATTTAAAAAAGTATTGAAGCAAAAAAAGAAGGAAATAACCACCAAACACAATTATCTATAAACAGATGTAGAATAGTGAAAGAAACACTCACGTATTAAGTATGTCTACTTCAAAACACTTCAGAGACAAATTTGAATTCCCTTTTCTACTGTAACCATGTAGAGTTTTATCTGTCTGATATCATAAGTGCAATTTTATTATAAATGAAAAAAAAAGAAACATATAGATAAATCAAAACCATTGCATCGTTAAAATATCTAGTGTGCTTTTCAACAGTTTTGAGTTCAAAATCAAATAAGGTGATCGCTAAAGAATCGGAAAACATTTGTATATAAATAATCCAGTATATGCGTGTACATGTATTTTGAACACATTCCATGTTTAAGTAAAACTTTAGACAATGACATTTGTTAATGTAATTCACGTGGAGAATGACATTTTCATGAAAAAAAATGCAAATTACATATAATTTCCAGTTGCGTGATTCCGAGCCTTTGAAATCGTCGGAAGGGTTCCTCTATAAAGGATAGCAACAAAAAGCAGCAAAACTATACTTTAGGACTTCTCTTTGATGTCAAACAGTTGATTTCTAAAGTGTATATTCCACAAAATTTATTTTTCATCAAGTATGTTAATTTAGATAATGGATTTATTAAGTGGAGGAAAACTGAAGTGTAATGCATACCATTTTTAAGAAGTGCGAAAAAACGCAGTCCATATTTATGTATTTTCATATTAGTACAAGTCTTGAATTCATGTGTTATTTTAAAATCAAGCTATCTTTAATTTTAAGTTTTTGTTTACTTTATCACTTTCTTAGGATTCATCATGCCCCTAAACAGCTTTAGTATGATTGCTCATATATTTTATATTTATCAAATTATTTTGTTTATTCAGTAGTTCAAAGAATACAAGACACATTCCTTTTAACATCGTCGCCCGCGTGGCGCAGTGGTTAGAGTCGCAAAGTAAGGAGTTGATTCTTATGTCACGGGTTCGAATCCCACTGTAGGGACGTGAAGACCGGTCCTTCGGATGAAACCAAGGTCCCGTGTCGCAGTAGGTGCTGACACGAAAAAGACCCCTCCCTGCTCAATGGCCCTCAGTTTTGAGTATAGGACAAAACTTGCAGCTCTCCATCGGTAATTGGTGGCGTCTCTATATTATGAACTTTAAATGAAATAGAAGATAAATTTCATTTCATTGTACAATTTGTGGAATTTTATGAAAGACATTTATCAAAAAAATATTATTATCAAAATAGTAGTGTATATAAATTAAAACAATTAATTAGTGTTCAAAATGAAAGGGAATTAAGAGGTCTGAGGATTTCTTTTAAGAAAAGCATATCATTTACGGGAAAGTAAAATAAATTTATTAATAAAACATTCATTATGATAAAGATTATTATTGATTTACTATTATGATATTTCAATAATATGTATGCATGCACATTTATCAATGACTGTGTAAATACATTGTAATATATTTTAACATGGCAATTATGTATATTGTATGTTATAAATAAGTTAATCTGATGTATCTGTTGATGCAAGGAAAAAAGAATTGAAATTAAAAAATTCTCGAGAGGGACGCTTATCAATGTATAATCAATCATTCAATCTTTTAAAATCTGTTTACAGCTACAGAGGACTCAACATAATGATCTTGCAACAAACGGCAAATTCACAAAAAAGGTATTTTCTATGATGAGTCTTCACAATCGCTTTTACCAAATATAGGTAAAGTGCTACTTTGCCTAATTTCTTCACCCTTTGAAACGCGAAAGCAAGTTAACATAGATTTTAAATCCTGAAGAGAGATTTAAGCTTAAAAAATATTTTGTTTAAAATGTCTACTTTTGGAAGAAGTCTACCATGGGTATTTTCGACAATGATATATCCCTGTATTCAGAATAAGGAAGTAAAAATAGTGCACTACAGCAATAGTTATAATTGCACTTTAAATTATGTAAAGACATCATAAACATACTACATGCAGGTACTTAAAATACCCTTTACCAAAGTGGCAATCCCTTACAATTTGATGATTCTGTATTGTTTATAGCTACATATGTATTACATGTAGGAAGGACATTGTAGTGAGAGGACCGATTAGAACTAAAAAAAATCACTCTCATTATCTCTAGCATTAAAGGTTTTTGTTTAATTTGTTTGAAACACCTCATATCTTTATGTGATACTAGACGATTAATCGTATGGACATCAGACCAGTTTTCGTTGCTGCAATTGTTTCTGTCTTGGTAGTGACTGCAATCTAAAAAAAAACAGTTAAGAGCATATTTATAAGTCTTACATTTTCAAAATAAAACATTTTGAAGTAATCCTGCACACCATTAAAAAAGACAATTTTTTTGTATATATTGCACGAGACTTCGCCACTGCAAAATAAAATAAAAGATTGAGTACAAATGAATCGTTGCATCAATAGCTTACTTGTATGGACGACGATATGAAATGTTCTTTCCTCTTTTCCTAGTAGACCAGTTACACTGGATATGCACGTTAATGGAGATTCTGTGTTACCTGTTTAATTTCTTAAAAAATAATGTTAATATCCTCAACATGATTTCAATCAAAATGCTTAAACTGCAATTTTAAATATCAACATTATATTATCTGTACACGTTTCCCCCCTCTTCGTCAAAAATCTGTCAACCAGAAAATAATATGAATTTTCTAAAATTTGCTTTTTGTTCTCTCTATTGTTAACTGACGTCTGAAAATTATAAGGAATTTGATTTATATACATATATATTTCAAGACTCTTTTACTTTAAACTATATTAAAAAAATTACAACTACAATCCATTTTAACTGATTAGAACATTCCCAAAGATTTATTACCATTTTAGTTTTATCCAACATTATGATGAATGACCAAAACCAACTGTCATGTCAATATTATTTATAAACAAGAACATTTTAGAAAAAAAAAATATGCTAATTTTTTTCAGTAAAATCTTATTTACTCTTCATATAAACTAATTAAATATTTTCTAATGATTTAGTTTCTGTATTTCTAAATCAAATTCACAATTATAATGATTGACCAAAACCAATTGTCACGTCAATATTTCTCATAGAAAAGAAAGAAAAAACACCTTTAAATTCAATCTTATCTGCAATGAATTTCATTCCCTTTTCTTCTGGCATATTAATTAATTTTCCTTTTATTGTAGCGTTTCCCAACATGATAATCACTTCTGCCTGTGGAGTACTGCCCTTTACCTCACAGTTTGGACTAAACAATCCTGCATCAACTTCAATGCGATGTGGGGTTGCATTGTTATCAAGTGTTAAGGTTTCATTTAACGATTGGTCAAAATTGAAATACATTGTAGTTAAGGGCCCTGTAAGTAAAATCATCAAGCAAATTATGTGAGTTCTATTTTTACCCTAATAAGACACGAGTGTCAAACAATGAAAGACTACGATCGATGCAAATGTTTTTTTTTTTTTTTTTTTGGGGGGGGGGGGTCTTATACAGCTGTACTTTATTATTTCTTTATGAAAATATTCGAAAACAACATGAGCAATTTCATTCGTGTTTTTGTATTCTACTAATAACACATACATGTATCTTTGTTATAAAAATCAGCAAAACTAGGTCATAATGAAGTCGGTAAGACCTATGGAATTACTTAGCTATATCGTCAATTCGTTATAACCGTATAACAAATTTATTTAATTTATATATTTGCAGATTCAGGTTCTTCGCTATATCCGTTCATTTGCAATATCTGTGTGCGTACTAACCGTGTTTTACTGTAATATAATTAACTTGACAATAGGCATAGAATGAGGCATTTCAATATGCGGTGAAAAAAGTTATTTGTTCATAATCATTTTATCTCGAATTTTTAAAAGCTCAAATATTCAAAGGCAATCCTATCTTAGTTTGCAATAAAATCAAAGTACTACTTGAACAAACGTTTTCCATGTTTTGTAATAGCTAGTTACATGTAATTCAACTTTGAAATTACCTCTAACTTTGATTACCACGACTTCTTTTCCAATTAGCTCTTCCCCTATCAGTTTACCATGCTGCTTCTCTTATTTCAATACTTCACAGGTGAGATTGCCAGAGTCCTTTTTCTGAACATCTAAAATAAGAACGAATGATATCTTATCATTCTATTTCATATCACGTAGTTTATCATTTTATTATTTACCTACAATTTCAACACGGTTGTTTATCTAACTTAAAATAAAATTTACAACAATTTACAAATTTCCTATCTTCCACACTTGTAAACAGTATCTTGATAGAAATTGAACAACTCTTTGGATAACATATGACTCATTCGGCAGGGGATGCTCACTCCTCCATGGCACCTGATCCCACCTCTGATGTTTCGGAGGTCCGTGTTTGCTCTGCTCTTATTTTGTATATTTGTTTAATGGACGTTGAGATTGAATACTGTTCGTTATTTCCATATCCTTCTACTCATGAACTTCTTCAATCGAAGATTCAAAGAGAGTATATAACAAAATGAACTGGTTCACATTTTCATAGATTATATTGATGACTAAAATAACCTTTTATGGTTAACTCAAAGCCGATGTTGTTTTGCTGTAGATGGATGACATTACAATCATACTTTTTGTTCATGACCTCAGGTTCCTTAAATTGGCCAAACTGGATGGGCAATAACTTTTCGTTGTGGTACCACCGGATTTTAAAATAAAAAATAATGTCCATTGCAGAAAGACCAGGTATGCTACATCGAGCCTTCAAGTTTTCCCCTTCGTTAAGCATGGCCTCTGAGGGTATGAGTGTTACTGTATACCCTTGGTCGTGAGTCAATCCTGAAAAAAATTAAGAAATACCGGTATTTAACAATTAAATTTAAGAGACATGCAGTTTCCTTTTATTATCACCTTTTAGACAGTTATACTTAAGTTGATATCCTGATCACTACTTAATTGTTCACATGTATTTTCTATAGGAGCCAATTGACCTATTGCTATTGATTTTCGACTGACCAAATGAAAGGTCGAAAGCTGAACATAGTCATTTTCTTCTTTTAAACTATCGAATTATTTTTTAAACACTCACCGCAGTCATGCCAACAATTTATACGATGGCAGAAAAAAAAAAGATTTTTAAATATTGAATTCGTTTAGGATTTTAGCCCTACAGCTCAGGCAACAGAGATCATAAAATTTAATTAATTTTTCATTCCCCTTCACCCAGTTGATGTTTGAAACCTGAATGATTGTGAAGTACTAGAAAACTGTTTTACAATGCTTTTATCCTACCTTCTATTAATTATTGTCTGACTATCTGGGGTAATGCATCACATAGTTACATGGGGGGAATTCATAAGCTTCAAAAACGGGCCGCTAGAATTATACTTGATGCTGCCCCTGATGCTCCTTCTAAGGCATTATTTGAAAAATTAGGGTGGCTATCTGTTTTTGACTTAGTAACTTTGCATAAATGTATTGTTGTTGTACAAAATATTTTACAATCAGAGCCCTTCTAACCTACAAGATTTATTTATTTGTCAAACTTCAAATGCGTATACTTTACGTTCAGAATCTAATTTTGACCTTCGCCTACCAAAACACTGAACAAATTTGTTTAAAAATTCACTCCAATATTCCGGAGTTCATATTTGGAACAGTTTACATTTAAATATAAGATGTGCACCAAGTCTTCCAGTTTTTAAACGAAATGTTGAAAAATATATCTTCATCAACAGAACTTGATTACCTCTGATTTATATCTTTTGCAAATGTATATAATTTATGTATTGTAAAATCTTGCTGATATTACATTTTTATAACATTTTATGTCATCTTAATTTATATTTTTATCATTGCTATTTAATTATGATTATCATTATCATCATATGACATCAAACATGTACTTGTAATTTAATTGACTTGCTAAGTTGTTTGTATATCTTTGCTAATTTGATGTTATATTGTTGTTGAAATTAGAAGGTCCTGAGGAAGAATAGTGTGTCACACTAATCAGGCCACCTTCTCTAAATAAAGTATTATTATTATTTATTATTATTAAAGTAATGAAAATGACCACCTTTTTCTTTACTTCTGCTGTAAATGTGAATATCAAAGTACTTACCAAAGACAAATTTCTTCTTTAGGTAAAAGAGGCATGTATACACACTTATTAATGCAATAACCACGCGAATCATTATAAGCAGTCTTTTGAAGTATTTAAATGCCAGTGCTTAAGTTGATCAATATAAGTGTACTCTTTCTGATTTTATAAGAAAACATGTAAATGTCTTTTCGATAAGGAAGTATATCACGATTTGTCAATATATCTATGACTCATATTGTTGCATAGTTTTCAATTCTCAGTACGATCAACAAAGTGAGTTTCACAATTTATTTCTTTAAGGAGTTGACTGTCTGGCGCCTTTACGTAGCGGGTTTGAATCCAACTAAAGATTTAGAGATCGGTCTTTCGTAGGCATCCGTTAATATATAAATAAAAAGTAATAATGTATATACAATGTAACTAATTGAATAGGAAATTTTAAATTTAAAGTTTAAACTCTAAAAAGAGTGTAGATTTTGATTTTCAACAACTTTCTATATGCCCAGGAATAATTGGCAGTCATTTGATTGTAATTAGCTCAATGTTTTTTTTTTTTTAAAAAGCAGATATACGACAATATGTGATCAGTTAAACGTATCTGATATTTCAGCTTATATGTGAAATTATTATTTGTGAGTTCAATATCATTTATATCTATATATTTCGCTCACCCAAAGCTTACATCATTTATTATACAATTCTTAGATTTCACGGCATAAAAAGAAGCTAATCGAAATGTTCTATTAATAAAAGTCCATCTATTTTGCCCACAATTTGTCTCATGGATAAATGAATATACATATGTAATATGTTTATTTTATTTCACAACGACGACGTCACTGTCGTTATGTCATTGCGTTTAAATGAAGAAATAAACGTTAACCTTTGTTGCTTTTCTGCTCGGTTAAAAAAAAGGAAACAAAATGCAGCAAAAATAAGAAAAAAAAAAAAGAAATTAACTTGGTTCACTCTTTTCATTCTCCATTTTCTTTAAACTTAGTACATTTATTTTTTATAGAAGGAAATATTATCGTTTTAAAAATTCTAATTTAGGATTGTGTTTCCGTTTAAATTTATAATCTGATACAGCTGTATCATATTTTTTTCTTAAGAGCATCTTCGCTTTTTTTCCTTCCTTTGATTTGATTTCCGGATATGAAAATGAAAGCCATTGCACACACTTTACTTAGAGACTGTACTGAGGAAGATATAAAAGTAAAAACTTTAATACATCATTCAAAAGGAGACGCATTTCATGTCGAAATCGACACGGTGTTGGACTGCACAGTGTAAAAAACCATGAAGGGGGTACAATAAAACTTTGGAATTCAAAGACTGACCGATTGTACAGTTTTCTGAATAGACAGTTCTAACTAAAATGTGTTTTCTTCTCTTCTTTTTTTCAAAAAGGTATTATGACTGCATTTTTCTTTAATTTCTTAGACAAGGATATAAGAAATTACAGATTGCAAAATCTAATTACAATTATATAATACAATAACTGATTTCTAAAACGATTTTTTAAAATGACAGTTAGATTGACGTTGTAATACTGTGGTTTTCCTAAAGTTCTCTAATGTACTAAAAAAAAGTGTCAAATATATGTTTTTTTTATAATAAAAACATAGAAATGTTAGAAAATGGCAATATTTCTTTGTATATGTCCTTTGTATCCGTCATATTTTGGAGAACTCCATAAACAGAGATTTTTTTTTGTTTTTTTTAGAATTTCCAGCTGATGGGACATTATAAGTTTCATACATTCACTATACAATAGAGATGAGTATAATTTGTGCAAAAAGTATATTGTTATATTTAAACTATTAGCTTTAAAATGCAAAAAAATGAAACTTTTCAAAATAGTCATATGTTTACGGATATGTATTTATGTGTGTAAATTTGTATGTATGTCTGTCCGTTTTTCAAGACAGATTCAAAGTCAACTTTTAACTTAGCTATGTTCATTGTATGAAAAAGTAAAATCTTGAGTGTTTGGTTTTGAAGTACTGATTGCATTTTGTACATTCTTTTGTATTTGTTTATTTTTGTTAACTGTATAATTGCATGTAGTTTAGGAATATTTTGGTTGATATTTTGATTTGTTTCTACTACATGTTTGGATTGTTGATCAAGATTTATTTGATCAATAAATTACAATTTCAACATATATATGGTGTTCATGTTATGTTGAGGTAAAGGAAGGAGGAGGCATAAAAAATGTTACTGGATTTTGAGAAGGCCTCCTTTTAATTACCTGAACAGTAGATATTTTCAAAATTTGGCATGTGCACCAACCAAAGTCAATCTCAATTTCATATGCTACTTAATTAAGTTTGTCTTCATTGTAGTTTTCAAAAAGTTTAATCTCATTCGGCTTCCTTGGATGAAACTGATCAATGATGAAAGCACATCATAGAGATTATTCATCTTATATAGTAGAAAATATGAGGTCATTATTTAAATGATTGATTTGAAAACTTTTAAAACATTTAAGAGACATACATATTTGATATTAAAATGAGGACTGAAATTCATAGTAAAAAGATGAAAATTTGACATACATGCGGGAATGACAACAGTAATTTAATTACCATTATTGAAGTAATATTTCTGTTTTCATATCAAAAAATATAAGATCTTTCCAACTTCATATTGTAAATTTCAATGTACACTACATCAAGGATTCTTCATTTGTATTCATAGAAAATTCAAAATACTGATAAATCAACAGCTAATTTAAATTATCAAACTTCAAAATTGCGAATTCTGTGTTGACCTCAGTACAGTCTTACAATGTTATTGTTATATAATTACCAAATGTATATTGTATAGCATGTACAAATCTAATGAATGAATATTGTATACCTATGAGATGCAATGTTTCCGGTTAAAAAAACAAACACTTGAATCATCCACATTTAAATATCTGATTTGACTTGCTAACTGTTCTTGCAAACTTCCAGTCAATTTAAATCTTTCCCGTGAACTTGCTGCGTAAATTATATTGGTGTTTATTTTTCTTTTGATGTTCCCGCAAACATATTTGGTTTTAGCGAGTTTAGTGCAAGCTTGCAACAGTTCCAAAGTCTGCCGCAGTATCGCAACTAGCAGCAAGCATCTGCAAACAAGAAAATGTTCTTCCTGCGAACAATTGTGTTTTCTACAAACATGCTGCAGACTTGCTGCATGTTAACTTGCGGAAAC